CCCGGCGGGAAGGGACGGTGGGAAGAGCAGGCGGCAGGAAGGGTCCCCGAGAAGGAGGCACGGAGTTCCAGGGAGCCAGCCGGGGAGAGGAGCGCGCGAAGGCACAGGCACGCCGTGTGCGTGTTTCCCGCGCCATCTGGAAGTTGAGATTGGCCGAGTCCGCGCATCTTTCTGTGGGCGCGCTCTGGCCACAGACTGGGTTTCTGCTGCCGGCTCAGCGCCGCCGCCGCCTCCGGACCGGGTCCAGACGGAGCAGAAGCACCTGAGAAAGAACCTGTTCTCACCCCGGCCCGGAGCCGCCCCTCCAGCCCCTCCCTCCAGGGGCGGAGCTCCCTCGTTATCTCCAGGCCCCGCCCCCTCACAGATCCTGCCCCCAGACGTGGTGACGCAATTTCCTGTGGACGCCGCTTCCTCCAACTGAGAAGTACGCGAGCGAGCGTCCCAGGAGGGTAAGCGGGGCTCTGCGTTCTTTGTGGATCCCGGTGGCGGAGTCCCCTTCGGGCCTGGCGTCCCCAGCGGTGTCCGCACCTGCCCGCCCGCGGTCCAGGTCGCCGCGATCTCCTGGGACGTTTCCATGTAAATCCTTTCCCAGCTGGTAACAGGCCTCTGCCTTCCGGCCTGGGAATACCCTGTCCCCCTTTTCCTGCTTAGAGCCCCTCCTGCACCCTCACCCCTTACTCCGGAAAGGCGCGATTGGGGGTGGGTTCTTGCCTGGGGCCCGTCCCTTCCGTGTCAGGTCCCGGGCCTGAGAACAGGGGACCCGAGAGTGGCATTTCCTGAAAGGAGAGGCCACCCCACTGATGACTGAGGTCTGTATTCGAGCTTAACTTCTGAGCACCTTGCTTTGCAAAAGGGTGCCATAGCAGTGACAGCCCCAAATCCCTGCATAGTCCCCACATAGAGTAAGCCTCCAGTGTATGCTTTCTGACCATTAACCAAGGTTGTAGGCAATCTGGCCCTCAGGCAGAGGGCTTTGTAGTGTGGATTACCCTCACCTTTCTCCAGGCAGTGCAGGGAGGGGCAGTCCTTCTTATAGGCTTGCAGTCTTGTGTGTCTGTGATGGAGGTCACCAAACTGGAGACAGTTCAGGGGTCTCCTAGACAGGAGCCTTGACCTATTAGTCTTGCTCTGACTGCGTGGGTCCGAAAGCCCTGGAACAATCTTATAAGCCCTCTATCTACTGATGGAAGTGTCTGTAATTGTCATGTATTGCTTGGCCACTAATCATGCTTTTGTGACAATTTCTTGTGCCCGGTCCCTCCCCCACATCCTCATTATCTCACATCTCAATTGTGAACCTGGGAAGCCATTTCCACCTCCTGTTGGTGGATTCCCTCTTCTAGCTGATGTGTTTTTGTCTTTGAGTTGTTTTTTTTTCTATATTGTATAATTTCCTTTTCTCTCTTTTTTTTTTAAACATTTTATTAGGGGCTCATACAACTGTTATCCCAATCTTTGAGTTGTTTTTGTCTCTTAAGATTTAACAAATGTTTTCTTTAAAGTATACTTATAATGGGTTCTCATTCTTACTCTAAAACAGATCTTTTCATCATTTCCCTCCTTAATCATTTCTGCCCATCGGAAATTATCTTGTGCTCTTTTAGACTGCAAAAGAGACTGTAATATGAATTGTAATTGAAGGAGAACATTTACTAAGTCTTGAAAAAGACAGAGTACAAAGACGCAGACAAGTCACCCAGATAAACGAAATCATTAACACAGGTCAAGGAAACATTCAAGTCAGGGATATAATGAAATAATATTGAACAAAGGAAACTCACAAGTTCATGATTGGTGGAACATCAACACAGCATTGTTACAAATGGAACTACAGAAGCAGGGTCAGGGCCATAATTGGGGCACCTACATTGTCTGTTAGAAGGTTTTACAGGATTGTACCAGGGCCATCTGATCCAGGAGGTTAGGGCTCAACTGATAAGGCATGGCTCATGACTATATAACCCCCGCTGGATTGGCTGGAGAAGGATGGACTGTGTCCACTTCCAAGGTCCTCTGCCCCTGGGCAAATGTAATCTGTATCCTTGCTTAAAGATTAGAAAGAATTTGATGGAGGCTTAATCTATGTGGGGACCCTTCAAATGGACTTCAGGTAGTCACTGCCATCCCTATCCCTTTACTAACTTCAGTGCTAAGATTTTAACCTCTACAATTGCTGAAACCCTGGTGGGGACTTAGCGTGATAGTGCGACAGGAGGAAAGTCAAGGGAAATAGAGGAAAGAGCTGGGAGGCAAAGGGCATTTATAGAGGTCTAGATAAAGACATGTATATA